ATCGACCCTCTTAGTAACTTGATTACAAGCTCGGGGAAGATTTTTAAGAATAAGGGAAAAAAGGAACTGGCCGCAACATCTCCTGCCATCTTTGTATGCCGCTGTACTACCTCACCGTCACCCCTTAGCTTATCTTTCCTAACCTTTCGCGTCAGTGGCAAAGCGAAACTCTGTTTCGAGGTGTATTGACCAAGCAGATCTTTAAACAAAATGAAAAGAGAATAAGATTTTGCAGAGAAATAATACCGAAGCTTTTCCTTCATGAATGTGATATATAAGCAAGCCGTGGAGAACGCTTCCGTGTTTCTTCTCACGTATCCGAGTTGTTCCATTCTTCCACTGGGTGGAACGACTGGATGCGTTAGCAGAAACATAACGCTTGTACATTGCAGTGATGGAAACCTTTCCAGGACCTTGAGAAGTATTCTTTTCCTATGAGGTCTTATTTTGTTTTCATTTTGTTATAAAATATATTTAATTAATATCTTGCAGAATAGAGTTTTGTTTTGCCACTGGCCTTGACGGTAAAGCTATGCTCAAGGAAAAAGACTGATAAGCTGTTAAGGGGTGGTGGTGAAGTAATGCAATCACATCCTACAGTTGCAGGAGAGGTTGTAGTGAGCTTATTTTTTCCTGATTCTTAAAATAAAAAATTAAAAAAACTTCCTTGAAGCATTAAGTCACCTAGATGGTTGGTTAAAGTTGTAAATCAGACTATTAAGATATATGTATTAGAAGAGGCATACTTACCATGATTTTTATTCTGTTATAAATTATTTCTGAACTCTGTTGTTTCTATTCATTTCATATAAATTGACTATTTCATCTTTAGGATTTAAAGCATATTTCTCAACTTGTTCAAAGCGGATTGTAATCCATTTTGCATGTTTGGTAGGTTCATTTGAGTGGATTTTTTTTTTATAATTATAATCCTCCAAAAATAACTTGGGGTTTCCCAGGTTATTTTTTTGAGGTTTGACCGAGTAAAGACCAGTGTACTTTTCTTCACAAAATTCCAGAGGATGCTTTAAATTTATAGTCATGTATGACAATAATGACGTGCTATAATGCACCTATTTACATACATTCAACTATTGAAACAGATCATAATCTGCCAAGTTTATCAAACACTTACGAGTTACGATTGCCGATTGGATTAAGACCTATAGAGTTCCCAAACACGACCTTAATTCTATCTGCATAAATGGGTAAACTATCTAAAACTACCACATATATTGAAATAGATATGTAATGTAAAATTGTAAATAATTGAATACTGCACTAACCATATAGAATACTGATACGAATTAAAAAGTGGAAGAAAACATTTCACTTTTATATACACAAAAGAAGGTGTAGATTGAGTGATAGATTATATGATTTTTATTCCATTATGAAGATACGTCCAGATACACACAGATATTGCATATATGCATAATATCACATACATATATGTGTATGTGTACACGTACACGTACATTCATGTGAAATGCACTTTCATTTTTTTTGTTGATCATTTTCTATTTTAATGATGCATGAAACATGGCCTTCTAAAGAAGTTAAGACACCCAGTTAAGCATTACAAGACCTAATGTCCTACCCTTAGCAAGGATGTGTCTAGAGGTGTCTGAAATGTGAATTAGGTTCCCAACCTTCTTAATGCAAATGCAAACGATGGGTCTTTGTTGATCTCTAAAGTCATCAGAGAAATGTTATGGGGCTAGTCAAGGCCTGATGTCCTAATCCTCTTGTGCTCTGTGGTGATGAAGCCAATTTAGGTTGTGTACGTGGAGGCTATCAATTTTTTTAGATCAATCCTGTATTTCTTATGGACATTTTTCTTACCACCACCTCTTTCCATCTTCTAAGCG